ATAGTTGGTAAAAAGCAACAAAAAGTGCACAAGTTAATTTGTGACTAAGCGTGGAAAGACAGGTGTCGAATGGCGTTTCAAAGAATGCCTTTTTCTTTCAGAGTCGAAATAAGGCATTCTTGGGGGGCAATTTGTTGGCTCCTAAATTCGACACCTTTGTTTTGATTGATGTCAGCCATTAAAGCTGAAGGATGTCTTCGACTGGCTAAGTCTGTCGAAATGCCCGTCGAAAGATGGCAAAGTACTTAGAAGATTTCTTCCAAGGAAGAAGGCTGATTGCCTTCGACGTCGAAGGAGTTTCTCGTCGAAGATGTCCCTTGACGAAAGTGTTCGATGGTCCAGAGTGGAGCAGTTTTGAAATTCAAGCTTTTGGAGGGAAAACGGTTTCCAGCGGTTACTACGTGCAAGCGTGCAAGGATCTGGAGCGTCGAACGCGGAGAACATGCCAAGTGGATTGATCTCGAAGCAGTGTAACTGCCTGACGGTTACTTGGGATGTTTTAGTATAAATAGGAGTAGACATGTAGTTTCTCGCGTGTGTTCACAATTCTATACAAAGTCACTCATATAGATTCGAGTACCCAGCGTGTGAGAAAGAATTATTGAGAAATGTATGTGTGAAACACCAATTTTATCAATTAAAGTCATTTACTTTTCCAGAAATTTACTTGCTTTCCTCTTTAAATTCCTGTCGAAACCTTTTACTGTTAAGCCTTGTTTATTTTACCAAGTCTTTCCTTCTTGCAATTTACTTGAAACCTTTTTATTTAAAGCCTTATCCAACTTAATCAAACTTCAAAATCAACCTATGTCCTAGGATCAATCTGATCGATCCTGCGAGTAACCAAATAAGTAACCATTTGGAGGATCAGCGGTTGTTTACCAAAACCCAAGGTAAACAATATGTTGTTCAGGACTGTGGATGAATCAGGCTTTGAGAAGATTGCTAGTTCGACTACGTCGAAACAAGCGTGGGACACGTTAGAGAAGGTGTTCAAAGGAGCAGACAAAGTAAAGCAGGTTCGACTCCAAACGCTTCGTGGCGAATTGGAGAGGATAAAAATGAAGGATACAGAAAACGTATCAGATTATATCACTCGTGTGCAGAAAGTGGTGAATCAACTCACAAGAAATAGTGAGACAGTAGCTGATGTAAGAGTTGTTGAAAATATCTTAAGATCTTTAACAGACAAGTTTGAAAATCTGGTGTGTGCAATAGAAGAATCGAAGGACCTTTCGACGCTCTCAATCGAAGAGCTCACTAGTTCGCTCGAAGCACATGAACACAGAAAGATGAAGAAGAAAGAAGAGGCAGACGAAGAAGCAAACCAAACAAAAGAATCGAAAGATGAAAAAGTACTCTTCTCGAACAACTTTCGAGGAAGAGGACGTGGACGTGGAGGACGTGACAGTAGTCGAAGTGGTAGAGGCAGTAACTTCGAAAGAGGAAATTCGAGCCAACAAGACTGGCGTGGCAGAGGACGTGGCCAAAGAGGTGGTCGTTCGAATTATTCAAATTTCGAATGCTACAAGTGTGGCAAGTATGGCCATTACGCGAAGGATTGCAACACCTACAAATGTTACAACTGTGACAAAGTGGGACATCTTGCAAAAGACTGTCGAAATGAAAAGAAGACTGAAGAGACAACCAATCTGGCTTTGGAAGCTGAATCGAATGAAGGGTTTCTCCTGATGGCCCAAAACGAAATCAACACCAATGACAGTATTTGGTATCTTGACTCAGGAGCAAGTAATCACATGTGTGGTTACAAACACCTATTTAAAGATATGAAGGGATTTGAAGATGGCAGCGTGTCTTTTGGAGATGCATTGAAGGTAAAAGTTGAAGGAAAGGGGACAATCAACTATTTGCAGAAGGATGGCTTGATTGGGTCAATCGAAGATGTCTACTATGTACCAGACCTTAAGACCAACATATTAAGTCTGGGACAACTCACTGAAAAGGGTGCTTCGATCCTGATGAAAGATCGAACACTGCAGTTGAAGGACAAAACAGGATATCTAATTGCTGTTGTCGAAATGGAGAGAAATCGAATGTACAAACTTAACTTGAGGAACATTCGAGAGAAATGTCTGCAGATCGAAGTGCAAGACAAAGTGTCACTGTGGCACATGCGCTTTGGTCACCTACATCATGCTGGTCTGAGAAGATTGGCAAAAAGGAACATGGTGCATGGACTGCCAGACATGGAGTTCGAAGAAAAATTCTGTGAAGAATGTGTGCTCAGCAAACAAACCAGAACCTCATTTCAGAAGAAGGCAGAGTATCAAGCCAAACAGATACTCGAATTGATACATACTGATATATGTGGGCCAATTATTCCAGAATCCTTCAGTGGAAAGAAGTATTTCATTTCCTTCATTGATGACTACTCAAGAAAAACCTGGGTCTATTTTCTGAAAGAAAAATCTGAAGCACTAGAAGTGTTCAAGAAATTCAAAGTAATGGTGGAAAAGGCAACAGAAAGAAACATCAAATCAATTCGATCATACAGAGGAGGAGATTATACTTCGATTGCCTTTGTGAAGTACTGTGAAGAACAGGGCATAAGAAGATTCCTTACTGCGCCATATTCACCTCAGCAAAATGGTGTAGCTGAAAGGAAGAATCGAACTATCTTTGACATGGTTCGATCAATGCTTAAAAGCAAGAGTATGCTGAAAGAGTTCTGGGCAGAAGCAGTACAATGTGCTGTTTACATTCAGAATAGGTGTCCACATTCGAAGCTGGAAGACAAAACACCACAAGAAGCATGGAGTGGACAGAAGCCAACAATCTCCCATCTCAAAGTGTTTGGTAGCATAGCTTATGCGCATGTACCAGACCAACGAAGAACAAAGCTTGAAGACAAAAGTCAGAAGTTCATATTCATTGGATATGATGAGAAGACGAAGGGGTACAAGCTTTTTAATCCCATAAGTAAGAAAGTGGTTGTAAGCAGAGACGTTCGAATGAATGAAGCCAGCAAGTGGGACTGGAACACTTCGACAGAGGCTGGTGACACAGTCGAAGAAATAACTATAGATGTACCAACAAACACTCCAGAAGAACATGAAGAAACAGAAGATAGAGATGAACCTCTACAACCCAGAATGAGAAGTTTGCAAGATCTGTATGAGTCAACAAGTGAGGTGCATCTTGTGTTCCTTCTGGCAGATGCTGAAAACATAAGTGTTGAAGAAGCGTTAAGAGATGAGAAGTGGAAAAACGCCATGGACGAAGAGATTAAAACAATCGAACACAACAAAACTTGGGAGTTGGTCGAATTACCAAAAGGAAGTCAACCCATTGGTGTAAAGTGGGTATTTAAGAAAAAAAATGAACGCCCAAGGAGAGATCGAAAGATACAAGGCACGGCTGGTTGCAAAGGGATACAAGCAGAAAGCTGGCATTGACTATGACGAAGTGTTCGCGCCTGTTGCAAGAATGGAGACAATTCGATTGCTCATCTCTCAAGCTGCTCAATTCAAATGGCAAATATTTCAAATGGATGTCAAGACAGCATTTTTGAATGGTGTGCTCGAAGAAGAAATCTATGTCGAGCAACCAATTGGTTATATGAAGACTGGAGAAGAGAAGAAGGTGCTGAAACTGAAGAAATCATTGTATGGGCTGAAGCAAGCACCTAGGGCATGGAACACACACATTGACACATATTTTAAGGAGAGTGGATTCGAGCAATCCCCTTATGAACCAGCCCTCTATGTGAAGAAAAATGGAGGTGATTTATTACTTGTGGCTATGTACGTTGATGATCTTATTTTTCTAGGCAATAATGTTAAGATGATCGAAGACTTCAAAAACACCATGACAAGAGAATTCGAAATGACAGACTTAGGTCTGATGAGATTTTTTCTTGGTCTGGAGGTTCGACAGGAAGAAGCTGGGATTTTCATATCACAAGAAAAGTATGCAAAGGAAATCCTAGAAAAGTATAAAATGAAGAATTGTAATCCAATTTCGACGCCAATGGAGCCAGGCACAAAGCTGTCGAAGTTTGATGGAGGAGAACGAGTCGAAGGAAGTAAATATTGAAGCTTGGTAGGCAGTCTTCGATATCTCACATGCACAAGGCCGGATATTTCACTTAGTGTTGGCATAGTGAGCAGATTCATGGAGGAGCCAGTTCACACACACTGGAAAGCGCTGAAACGAATTCTGAGATACATCCAAGGAACGGTATCACTTGGGATGTTTTATTCAAAGACTGAAGACTACAAGCTAGTTGGATATTCTGACAGTGACTGGTGTGGAGACGTTGATGATCGAAAGAGCACTGCAGGATACGTGTTTTTCATGGGAAACACAGCTTTCACTTGGCTATCGAAGAAGCAGCCAATAGTGACACTTTCAACGTGTGAGGCAGAGTATGTGGCAGCATCCTGGTGTGTGTGTCATGCTGTATGGCTCAGAAGGTTGACAAGTAAGATGAGGCTGAAGCAGGAAGGTCCAACAATAATACACGTGGACAACAAATCAGCTATTGAGCTGGCGAAGAATCCAGTCAATCATGAACGAAGCAAGCATATAGACGTTCGATTTCACTTCATACGTGAACATGTGAAAGAAGGAAGCGTGGAACTAAGGCATGTGGCAAGCAAAGACCAAGCAGCTGACATCTTCACAAAACCACTATCAAGAGAAGTATTCGAAAGAGGCAGAAAAATGATTGGGATGCTGGATCGAAGAAGCATTTAATGTTTAAGGAGGAGTTTTGTTGAAATAAAACATTAAATGGGTTAGAAATAAATTATTAGTATTAACTATGGTAGTAGGAAAGACATTAGTTTTATTTTAATAGTTATGTAGCAGTTATGTTGTTTAATTTACTGTTTTAGAATTGTAAAAGTTTTGTTTGAGTCTACAAAAGACCCAGTGTGTGTAATTTATTCACTAAGAGCAATATACAAGAAGTTAAAAGTACAGAAAGTCTGATTAATATTCTACAGTTTCTACCCATAAGCTTGTGTAACATGGTGATGAAGCTTGTGACCAAAACGATAGCAAATCGCATCAAACAAATTCTCCATGAGGTCATCGATGCTGAGCAGAGTGATTTTGTCCATGGTATATTGATTACAGATAATGCTTTGCTTGCGATGGAATGTTTCCATTGGATGAAGAAAAAGAGGAAAGGGAAGAACGGAGTTATGGCCTTGAAGTTGGATATGTCCAAAGCCTACCATATATTGGAGTGGAGTTTTGTCCTCTATGGGCTTCCATATTTCAATGGTGAACTTTATTTCTAAGTGCATCTTCACCGTATCCTATCAGATTCTCCTCAACGGTCAACCCACTCAAAAAAAATTTCTAGAGATAGGCCTCCGACAAGGGGGTCCTCTCTCCTCTTACTTGTTTGTTCTTGTGCAGATGTGCTCTCTGGATTATTAAAGAAGGAAACTGAGGCTCGCACCATCCATGGCCTTCAAGTGATACGGAAGGGCCCTAAAATCTCATATATTCTTCGACGATGATAGCATCTTGCTTTTAAGGGCTAAATGCAGAGAAACAGATAAGATCCTGGAAGTTCTTAGAATGTATGAAGAGACCTCAGGTCATATGGTCAACCTTGTCAAGTCTGAAGCCTCCTTTAATCGAAATGTGTGACATGATGTTAAAGAAACTATCTGTAACAAGATGCGAGTAAAGACGGTTCAATCTCACTCAAAGTACCTGAGGCTTCCAGTACTTTTTGAAAGATCGAAGAATGAGGATTTTTCTCTTGTGGTTGAAAGGGTGTGGAAGAAACTTAAAGGTTGGAAAGAAGGTTTTCTCTCGAGAGCGAGAAAATAGACTCTAATTAAAGCAGTATCCCAAGCTATTCCAACTTATGTAATGAGTTGCTTCAAGCTGCCCGAAGGTGTGTGTAATGAATTGGAATCGCTTATGAAAAAAATTCTTGTGGGGTTCAAAGGAAGGGAATAGGAAACTCTATTGGATGAGATGGGAGATATTAGCTATAGAGAAAAGGAAAGGGGGAATGGGATTTCGAGGCATTTCTGATTTCAAGCTGAGTCTTTTGGGGAAACACTTTTGGAGGATTATGCAAGGTAATAACACTCTCTCCTTGTTGATGTTCTCAAGAGTAAGTATTTCCCTAGATGCTCCATCCAAGATGCTAAGCTAGGTTATGCCCCAATTTATGTTTGGAGGAGCATTTTTAGTGCAAGGGATCTAGTGTTGGAGGGATCAAGATGGCGAATCAGTGATGATTCAAGAGTGAAAATCTAGCAAGACAAGTGGATGCCAGGGAATTCTGGTTGCAGGGTGTCTTGTTTGGCTAGAGGATTGGAAGCAAACGCTTTGGTTCAAGAGTTGATTGATAAAGACCTCCACTATCGGAACTCAGAAGTAATATCAATTTTTTTTATTATGGTGATGCAATCTGAATTACAAGTATTCCGTTATCCAGACATAAGTTGAAGGATAAAATCATTTGGAATTGGGAGTCAAATGGATATTATGTTTGGTCTGCTTATCTCCAGTTGGTGGATTCAAATGGCGCGTAGAAGGCTGGCCCATCGAGCCCAAAGCTTGTTTCTCTATGGAAAGTCCTGTGGAAAGCTCCAGTTCAAGTGCGGATTCGGAACTTCCTGTGGAGATTTGGTCAGAATATTCTCCCCATTCGTACAAACTTGTCTAAGAAAGGTATTCCTCTTGATCCTTGTCGCTCTTTCTGCTTTGATCGCCCCGAGACCTTGGATCATGTTTTTATGCAGTGTTCATTCTCTAGGGAGGTTTGGTTCTCCTACCCGTTGGAACTTAGGATACAATCTCACTCTGACCCCCTAGTGTGGCTGGAATCTTGTTTGAATTGGAAGGATCCATACGAAATTCAATTGTTTAGTATCCTTCTGTGGAGCATTTGGAAATGTCGGAATAATGCTATTTTCAAAGGATCACCTGCTGTTGCTGGAAATGTTGTTAGTGAGGCGTTGATCCACATTGATGATTTCAATAGAGCTAACCCTCAAATTCTGGAAAAGAAGTTTGCATAGGTGGAAATGCACGGGCCTGCTGATTCTTGCATTGTTCAGATGAATGCGTGATGTTTTGATGATGGAATTGTTGTTCTAGGTTGTGTTGTTAAGGATTCGGCAAACTAGGTGTTGTTGTCATCCTGCAAAAGAATGCAAAGTGTAGCGGAACCCCGGGTTGCTGAAGGGCTCGCAATCAAATGGGACCTTCAAACTTCGCATCAGCTGAAGCTTCAGAAGATCATAGTTCAATCGGATGCGCTAGGAGTAGTGGACTGTATGAACCATATTGCATTTTCTGAGGTGCTAGAACCTATAATGTTGGACTGTACTGAGTTAGTTAATTTGTTTTCCTTTGTTTCAGTTATGTTTATTAGGAGAAACTGTAATGTTGATGTCCACCATCTGATTAGAATATGCAAAACTGTTGGCTGTAACTTGGATGGATTGTATCCCCGAGCTGAACACTTATTCTGTCTCTTTGCATGTTGTTGGCTTTTAATGATGTTGTGTTTGCATAAAAAATAAATAAAAAAGACTCTTCTTCCCCGTTAAATAAATTATTTCCTCCTTAAAAATTGATATGTGGAGCAAACACTTGCTCGAGAGTGTCCAATAACAATCACTTGAGAGTAGCAGGTGTATCATTCCCTAAGAGAACAACATGGTCGTTTAGCTAATATTGAGGAGGGATTCTAGACAAATTGTCAAGAAATTTGCTTAATGAATTTAATAAAGATCAAAAGCAAGATACTTTCTTTATACTTTAATTATATTTAAGTTATTAACCCGATACTCGTTCTCAATAAAATAATGTTTTTCCTTTTAAATTCGTTTCCATTTTATTCTCAAAATGAAAAAGAAAAAAAAAACGTTTCTTATTGATTACAAGTCCACTTTCAACTCGAACACAACAAATAATGCAAAAATAGTAACAAAATTAATTATGCATGAATCCACATATATTATCAAAGAAATTTTGAGTTCATTAATCCATTAGCATGAAAAGTTGTTTCTTTGCTTTCCGCATTTCATTTTAAAATCGTCTTAGATTTCAAGTTTTTTTTTGCTTTCGTGTTCAAATTGGTCCAATAATATATTACATTAAATGCTGGGGGACAAACTTTAATATTCTTTTCTTCATGCAAGTAAGGAATTGATGATATAAGAAAAAGTAGAATGTTAATATATTTCTTTGCAAATTATTAATTAATTTGTATACAAAGAAAGATTCCATTTAGATATTGATAGTCTTATAGCTTATGATGTGAATATTTTATTTTGCTTTCAGATGTACCTAAGATAAGATTACATATTATCCTAGCTAATATATATATATATATATATATATATATATATATATATATATATATATATATATATATATATATATATATATATATATATATATATATATATATATATATATATATATATATATATATATATATATATATATATATATATGATGACTAATTAATTTACATAACATTAGCCATATACATGGAATTGGAATTAGAGATGAATTGGATTGATCAAATCAACAACGAGATAAAGAGCAATGGTCCTTCAATATCCGATGAGATGGAACAATGGAAGAAGCATTCAATTTACAAAATACCCTCAATAGTAACAAATCTAAACAAAAAAGCCTACATACCACAAGCAATTTCATTTGGTCCTTATCACTATGGAGAGGAACATTTAAAAGCTATGGAAGAACATAAGCATAGAGCACTTGTTCATTTCTTAAAGAGATGTCAAAAGCCAGTTGGGTTGGTATTCCAAGAAATGGAACAAGTGGTCCAAGAGTTGCGAGACTCATACAAGCCACTTGATCCGATTTGGATATTAGATACATTAAAGTTTGTTCAAATAATGATTCTTGATGGTTGTTTTGTTTTGGAGATTTTGAGAACTAATGATTGTGTTGTAGATGATTATGCTGAAAATGATCCTGTCTTTGGTGAACATGGGAAGTTTTATGTTTTGCCATATATCAAGCGTGACATGCTTATGCTTGAGAATCAGATTCCTATGACAGTTCTACATACATTGATTCAACTTGAAACTAGAACGGAACAGGTAACTAGTTATCAATTTTCAAAATGCATATTTTGGTTTTTTCTTCTTATTTTCATTGAATTTTATTCGGTCGAAAATATGAAATATTACAGGAAGATGATCATGAGTTATTAAACAAGAAAATCGCGAAGTTATTAAACCCTAGCACACCTTTAATCAAAAGCTTAGGAAAATGCATGCACATATTGGACGTGTATAGAAAAAGCCTAATTCAACACGGACCAAGCCACCCAACACGCATGCCCAAAGAAACAAAAAGAAACTGGCTAACTTTAGAAGCAGGAGAAGAGATCATTCGGTCAGCAGTAGAGCTTCACGAGGCAGGAATGCGCTTCAAGAAAAGCAAAATATGGAGTCTAAGAGACGTTTCATTCAACCGAGGTATTCTTAGGCTTTCAATTTTGGCTGTAGATGACACCACTGAATACATGTTTCTTAACCTCATCGCCTTCGAGCGTCTTCATGTTGGAGCAGGTAACGAGGTAACATCATTTATATTCCTTATGGACACCATCGTTGACAATGCCATGGATGTTACAATTCTGAACCGGAATGGGATCATTATCAATGCTATTGGAACATGGGCGGATCCACGTTTAGGCTAGGTGTGGCTATAGCCACACCAGATTTTTTTTCTTCTAATATTAATATATATTTAATTAATTAATTAATTTTAATATTTAATATTATATAACTCTTCAACTCACTTTTATCTCTTAATTTTCTCTCTCTTTTATTTCTTTCTCTCTCACACAGTAAACCCTTTCTCTTCTTCTCAAACCCCACCAACTTCCATATTTGTCTCTTTCTCTCATTAATCCAATAACCCCACCATTTTGCATTGTTTATGGGTGATTGAAAATCAAAGGTAAACTAACTACTTCAAAATTTTCTTATTCTTTTGTTCTATTTGAGTTGAACCTTAAAACCCCAATTTGTTTTAAAAAAGTAAATTTTCAATTTCTCATAAATATTTTCTTTACAATAAATTATTCTTATTATTTTCTTTATAGAGTGAATAGTTAATTTTAATGGTTTCATTGTTCTCTTTATAGGATGAAGAAATTTTTTCCTGTGCTTTCTAGAGACAAAGCTACTTCTTCGGTAAATCTAGAAGCATTGGAAACTCAACATCCAAGTGAGAGTATTAAAGTTGTCGATTATGAATTGTTGGAAACCGATCCAGGAATTAGGCCTCCAATTTTAAGCTATCATCCTGACATCCAAAATGAGGTAAGGAAAGCTTATTTAAAAATAGGTCGTCATAAACCTCCTTACAATTTTGTTTACCCTTGGTCTGTTCAAGGTAATCAAAGACGTAGATTTTGCAAAAATTAGTTTGATTTGTATGATTGGATTGATTATAGTGAATCTAAGGACCTGGCATTTTGCTTGCCATGTTTTTTGTTTAAGAATGTTTCTAAATACGGGGGAGATCACTTTGTGACAGAGGGGTTTGGTGATTGGAAGAATTCTCACAGATTGGCTAATCATGGAACTTCTTCCAATAGTCATATTGATTGTGTGCATATGAGTTACGCTCTCATGAACCCAAACCAAAGTATTAAGGCTGCATTTGTTAATCAAACTAAACAAATGAATTCTGAATATCGTGTTCGTGTAAACACATCTCTTATAGCTACTAAGTTTCTTTTGAGGTGTGGCATGCCATGTAAACACATCAATGGTTAAATGATCGTCTTGTAACTTTTATAGAAAGAGATGTTCTTGGAACAATTAACAATGATGTTATTTTAGCTCATTTTCAAGAAATTGATACTAGACGGTTTTCATTGTAAATACACTTCATCAAACAATATTATTTTTTATTTTCAATATATTTTAGTCGATAATTTCTTTTATGTTTAGCCACACCAATATATAAAGTCTGGATCCGCCCCTGTATTAGAAGTGATAAAATTGTTTCGAAATTGTTTAACTCGTTGTCGAGGGATATAGCAGTGGATCGACATGGAGTACTTGATGTGGTGAGGATGAGTATGAGTGACTATTGCCAGAAACTCCAATATATTTTGATTCTCATTTTAAAAATTATTATCTTAGTTCTTTTTAAAAAAAAAATTGGATTTTCGTCTTTTCATTTTAAAAATCATGATTTTCGTCGTATCATATCTCTTATCATACATAGATCCTTATAAAATATGATAGAAACTGCATAAAAAGTAGGAGCGGCATAAAAAATACATTGATAAGTTATTGGTTTTTGTCTATTTTTCTTCTATGAAATAAATAAATTATGTTGTTGAAATTTTTTATCTCTTTTGTCTTATTTTTTTTATTAATATTATTTATAGTAATGTAAAATAATTTATTTATTATTTCATTTAATGATTATTATAACACTTTATTTTGAATAAGATAGGAGAACAAAACTGATGTGATATTTCATTACTGAAAATGCAAGAGATAGAGATACTCAATATAATTACTATTAAGAGATCAACACGTTATTTCAATGGCAAACCTACAAAGACTAAAATACATTGAGACCCACATTTAATTTACTTTTGCATGTATCATGTACTAGCATTCTAAGTTTTCTTGTGCATACAGATTGGCAACTCATATCGACAAAACAAAAATATATTTTCCTTTGTTTTTTGTTTCAAAATTCTACTATAGTTAGAACTTAACCACATGTTTACTATACAAACCTTAAAAAAAAGAAGATATAATTCCTTATAATAAAAATTTAAATGAGTTTGTTTCAATATGAGTTTAAAATATTTGTTCATTTTAATTCAATGAGAATTTTTTTTATAAACTTATATTCTTGATTCAATTATAATTCAAATCAACATACATATTTGTTTTATATATATATATATATATATATATATATATATATATATATATATATATATATATATATATATATATATATATATATATATATATATATATATATATATATATATATATATATATATATATATATATATATATATATATATATATATATATATATATATATATATATATATATATATATATATATATATATATATATATATATATATATATATATATATGATGGATTGGATTAAATAGATGCGAGCAAATATTTCAATTACTTTGTTAGAAGATTTGATCCTATAGTTATATTAAATATGTCTAATATTTTCCTAACATCAATTTTATTTATTTTCTTTTCTTTTATAATTCTTTTATCACAATGTGTCTTTAAAACTATATGTTCTTTATAAATCTAATTTTTGAGGATGTGAATTATAATGAATTCGTTTTATATTTGAATTTTTTTTTAAATAATTACGAAAATATAAAATTAGAAAACATAAAGTTATTGATCAAAATATTGAATATTAATGAAAATCTAAAAGTGTGTGTATTCTATTAGTATATGTACAAACGCACAGATAACACATCAGTATCGTGTGAACGCACGAATAATCATATCAAAATTCATGTTAACACACGAGTTATTATATTTTTTGTACAATTAAATAAAATATAAATATAAATAATGTATTAATCTAAACATGATGTGATACGGTGGGAGAACTGACTTGAGGTTTCGCGTTTGTGTTCGCAAATGTTTCGGTTTAGCAAGAGTCACCACCGACTTTTTATTTTATCCTAAGGAAAGGTCAAAAAGCACAGGAAAGACCTTTGAGATGTTTTCTTGGGTTCGGGGAGTAGATTATGAAAAGGGAAGGTGCAAGCACCCTTTTCATCCATGGTTATCCATGGGCTCTTAGTTACTTGTTTAGATTACTTGCTTTGCTTTTCAATTGTTTGAAATGGTGCTCTTCAATTGTTTGAAATGGTGTTTTGTGTGTGATTTGGAAATATGTTTTGAAAAGAGGCCATCTATTTACAGTGTATTCTGGTAAACAACCGCTAGTCCTCTAAACTATCGAATAATCTTGTTGACTGTTATTCAACCTCTCTAGTAACTCGCAGGATCGACTAGATTGATCCTAGGATGTATTGGTCATTTGGATAACTCTCATTATAGAACAGGTATTCTTGGTTGGTATTTAGAATGTTGTGTAGGTGTCTAACTTACTTCGATTACTCTATTAAAGATCTAATAACTTGATCAAGTAAATGTGCGCGAAACTAAATTGCATGAATAAAGTTCAATTGTAAAGACATATAAAACTGTAGAAAAGACAAGTAAATGACTTCGAAGCATAAAACATGTAATGTAAAAGATTCTCTGGAATGTAAAAGATCTGAAATATGAAGAAAGCGTTTAAATGCAAGAAAACATTAAAATGACTTTAAGTGAAAAAAGGTGTTCGAATGATAAAAGCTTGAAGATAAAGGCATGAAATGTGCAAAAGTTTATGAAATGCAAAGTATTTGAGATGGGAAGAAAGCATTTAAATGTAAGGCATCAGTAAAAAGATTTCGAATGAAAATGTTTTAATGCAAAGGCTTTTAAATGGTATTGACATGAAGATAGAGGAAAATACTGGAAATGATAAAGAGTTTGATTAAATCATAAATACTTGGTGTTATCATACGTACATTGCTCGTGCATTCGTTTCCCTAGCCATGTGGTATTTTGAATGTTTACTGAGTTTTTTGTACAATAGATATGACACACGAAATCCTAATGCTAAGACTTCTATTTATACTACTTCGACCATAACGGTCTTGCTATAAGATTCTGCCACGTTCAGAACATGCAGAGCAATGCCTCTCCCTAGCTTCCACGCGTCTTCGAATGCTCCAGCGCATATATTTTAAATTTCGAACATCCCGCTTGCATTTGAATTTCAAATGTTTTGGCACTTCTTCGCTTCGAACGCATTTCTTGGACACAGCCTTGTTAACATTTCGAGACTTCTTTGAAATATATCCTCATAACTGTCACTCGAAGCTCCAAGCTTTGATATGCCCATTTGAAGCAATGCTTCTACCATTTCGAAACATGACATCTTGCTTTATTCCAATCGAAACGTCTAATTTGCTTCGCTTTTAATAATATCATCAAAATCTTCAGCCAACAAAATGCCCCTTTAAAATATGTATTTCGATTCCTTTGAGAAATACTTATTTTAAACATATACACAAGATTTTGATGCGACCTTCGAATCATCGTAACATTTATTGCATATGACTCCAGTCACGTCAATCACAACGCTTTTCAGATTCCTTAACCGCCTTGAACCATTTCACAGCATGGTGCAGTTACAAAACAATGATTATCATTTAATCACGCCTATTACCAATATTAACTTTACGCCACCTCCCTCTCAAACCAACCCACGACTACCACGTATCACAATCTTACTCAGTGGATGTTTAAACTTCCCCACTATAAAAACCCATCAACTTAGTCTTTTCTTTTCTTCCCACATTCTGAATCTTTTCTTCCTCTTTTCTCACCGAAACCCTAAACTTCCAACATTCTTCCAACAATGTCTTCTTCAACTTCATCTCAACTGAAAAAAGCTTCCAAAAAGAAAGGAAAGAACACAGGAACCATAATGGAAAGCAAGGTTGGCACCTACCAAGGTCAATCGGTTCTTATTCCCCAGATGATCTCAAAAGAGAATGAAATGCTTTATGCATCCCAGGTACTAATTCCTACTAACGCCGCTAGCAAGAG